TATACCTCACACGACCTAGCAGCAGTCTTTTGGATTGGTTGGTCTACAAGTTTCCCTGAGCCTTCTTTGTCTAAAGCCTAACCCCTGGTGAAGGATGAAAGGGAAGGGGCCCTACCAAGATCAGCCAGGGGTGAAACCTCACAATGTTTTCGGTTCTGCTTTCCAATTGTGGCTCTATGATGGCTTGGAAGAGACTCTGAATGTGCAATTTTTCACTCGTTCAATCAATGAAAAATTGTGCTGTTGTCACACACGCAGGAGAAGAAAGATGTTCTGCTGGAGTGCAGGTTCGGCGTGAGCTTGTTCTTCAAGGACAAGGCCGGCTTTGTCGGAAACACGTGTCATGGAGAATGCCGACCCTACCAGAGGCAAGTACCTACTTCGTCAGTGAGGCCAGCAGCACTGCTATTTGTTCATTGTTTACCGTAACACTATGCGCTTCAATCCACTATGCCTATCGCAATGGCGACCAATAGGCAGTCCATAATTGGTCGAAAGGCTCTAAACTAGGCTGGGAGATGAATGTCTGCTGTCGACCATTTGATCTCTATTCTACTCGGTGGCTGGTGTGGTGTGTATGCCATTACAGACTTCAAAAGTAGCACCATGCCGTGAGAGTTGGATTCACAAATATAGAGGCACCCCCATGCCTCAGCAGCACAGAGTCCTATATTCCCGTCAATGGCTCCGTCGCATTGCTTCAGCGCGCCACTGCACCTTGTTTTTTCCTCCTTTTTCCCCTAAACAAATGGAGCGCTTCAATCTATATTGATGACGCTTCTCTCGACACCTTGGCTAGGTGGCGTGGCGGGGCGTAAAACTGTACATTGACAACAATCATCTGTCTCTGTCCCAATGATTGGTCAAATGATTGTTCAAATGATTGGTCAACAGTTGAAAGAATCTGGTCAAGATCAAGAGTCAATTGTCAACAGTCATAGTCAACGCTTGAGATCCAGACCCAGCTGTGCAGGAGAAAAGCACAGGCATACAAAGATGGATAAGATCAGATCATCAGAGTCAGTTTTCATTATTTCACGGAATTTTCACCTGTCCTGTCCTGTCTGTGTCAGCAGTTCGTGGTCCAGGTGCGTGATGTCATTTGCTCGAGTATTCTGGCTTGTGCCTTGTGCAGACAGCAGTTGTGTGCACCAGGTAGCCAGGAAGACTCAGCGGTGGGTAACAGATAATCTACCAGGGCACTGGACATAGAACAAGTACTTGCTTGCTGAGTGAAGCAAAGCTTGGCTTCTTCTGCTCCTACATGGGGGAAACTTTTGGGGTTCCCTCCTTCCCTGTCCCAAGATGGAAAGCTGGAACTGCAGGTTATCCTGAGGTGGTGAGTATGGTAGATAGAGATTTCCATCCTGTGGAAGGGAAGGAGGGGGATCGAGCTATAGATGAATGGATTGATGAATAGGTCGATGGACAGGAGGGATAGATGGACGGGGTGGATGGAGCATGAATAAACGAATGGATGGATGATGGGTGGAGCGAGGGAGGGAAGTTGGTGATTGGATGGATGGGCCTATGTAGGGAGGGAGGGAGGGATCAACGGAGGACACAGAGAGTGAGTGAGGGAGCGAGGGAGGCATGAATGAGTGAATGGAGGGACAAGTGGATGGATGGGATGGACAGAGGGCCAGATGAACGGGCAGATGGATGGGTAGATGGATGAATGGATGGATGGAGGTGAATAGATGGAGGAAGGGAGGGAGTGAAGGAGGGAAGTGGGAGGGGTGGCTGCCACTGACCGGTGGAATGAATGAATGGATGGAGGGAGGGAAGGAGGGAATGAGTGAGGGAGGGATGGACCAAGGGAACAAGGGAGAGAAGAATGAAATGGGTGAATGGAGGGATGGATGGATGGAGGGAGAGAGGGACGGATGGATGGGATGGATGGGATCGATGGAATGGAGGTACAGATGGGCAGGCAGATGAATGCATGTATGGATTGATGGATGGATGGATGGATTGAGGAAGGGAAGGAGGTAGGTAGGTAGTATAATGAATGGGTGGATGGAAGGAGGGAGGGGTGGAAGGAGGGATGAATGGGTGAATGGAGGGAGGGATGTTTGGGTGGAGGGAGGCACAAATGGACGGGATGGATGGATGGATGGATGGGTGAATGCATAGGTGGATGCATGAAAGGACAGACGGATGGATGGATGAACGGAAGGATAGATGGACGCATGAATGGGTGGATGGATGAATGAATGGATGGTTGAATTGATGACAAGAGGGAGGGAAGGAGGGCATGAGGGCAGGAGGGAAGGAGGGAAAGAGGTAAGTGGGATGTAGGGGTGGGTGGTTGAATTGATGGATGGGTGAATGGATGGAGGAGGGATGGACTGGGATGAACCTTGTTGGTTTTTATTAAAAGCTGACATAAGTTCTGTTGTTTCTGTCCATCCCTTTGCAGTCATTCTGAACTTGTCAGTTGCTCCCCCTCCCCCCCTCCCCCCCCCTTCCCTCCTTAAGGAGGGTTAGCCCCTTATCTTTTTGTACCCAGCTGTTGACTCCAGCGGGGTCTGAATTATGAACTGGTGATCTCTTTTAAACTCTTCCCTGTATGTAACGATTAGCCACAAGGCATTTACATCTGGATTTCCAAATTCTTTCTACTTCTGATTCATTTTTTGCTGCTGTATTGCCTGTGTGCATGGGGTGAGTGTGATGATCGTATTGTTACACCCCAGTTGTTGAGATGTTTCCCTTTCCTCAACTTGAGGAATTTTGTGCATATCACCTTTGAATCCCTACCACTATAGAAAAAAATGCACTATCCGCTCGGGTCATGGATTTTTGCTATTGTGTCCATACTGTCTCTTCGGTTGGTCGGCCGCTGATTTGATTTTGGTGGTAATATTATACCTTTCTCGGCCTTTTGGCTAAGATCAAGTGTAGTATCTGTTCTGATCAGTTTAATACCTGATCCGTGGTCCATCGGGCCACATTAAAAAAAAAAAAAAAAGTTCACAACTTTACAGGTTAAGGGGGGGCAAAAGAAAAAAGATTGCAGGCGAACTGGGCCTGGTGATCGACCTGAACCTCCTGGCAACGATTTCTATTTTGACACTTAAGCCTTAAGGCATGTTGCGAAAATTTCTGTGGTATTTATGTGGCACAATGTTGTGCTGGAGACTGTTCATTTTGATGCACGTGCCTATGGCAAAAGTTCTGCAGTGTGTGTTCAACAAAGTGCTCACACCTCATGACTTGCACCCCTCATGAGGCACCACCATGCACGCGCGAGTGCACACACACACACACCCGTCCACCCTCCCAAACGCGCGTGGTGTTCTGGAACAGTGCCATGTTGCACATGCCCTCACCCAACTTCTACGAATGCATGAATGCACACACACAATTCCACCACCCACACCGACCTACCCTCCTTCCCTGACAACATACACGTTCATTTCCAAACGTTTAGCATGACAAGCACACCTCTTGATCCCTGCCACACCACCTCGCTCACCCACGTTCACCCCTCTTCCCCCACAACATCCACATTCATTCTTGAACATGCATTGCACTGCCGCACACAATGCCCCACAATGGCCAACATGTACAAAGTGGGTGGTCGGGATGAGAACGGGGAGAAGGCAATGAGGAGGAGAATGGGGATATGACGAGTGGGAAGCGGAAGGGGCCATAAGGTAGAAGGATCCAGGGGAAAATTGCCAAACACATTGATGGGAACAAAGAGGAGATGAGAGCATGGGAAAGGTCAGGGGGACGAAGAGACGAAGAGGAGTGGGGCAGACATGCTCAAGACGTCGGGGAAAAGGCTGAGATGGAGGTGCAATGTCAGGGGGACAATGTGGGGGTTGAAGCAGAGGAGAGAGAGAGAGAGAGAGAGAGAGAGAGAGAGAGAGAGAGAGAGAGAGAGAGAGAGAGAGAGAGAGAGAGCACATGGAAGATCAACAGGCAAAGTTTGAGAAAGAAAGAGAAAACCTACCCCGTAAATGTTTGCCCATCCCTTCTTCTTTTGCAAAGTAAGCTGCAACAGCTCCTCAACTGATTTATTAATCTTTTTATAACAGATGGATTTTCTCCGTTTGGTTGATCTCATTATCCTTTCCTTATCAGGTTGCATGATGATGCTGAAAATGGAACCTTGGATGGCAGGACGAGGGATGGTGTTTCAGTTTTTAATCAGCAACTTTTTTTTCACACATCCATGGCAACCGATCGGTGGATGCCTATTCTTGAAATCATTGCTGTTGGTAAATTCTCTTTCCTTTTGTGTTCTTTAACTTGTGAGGCAAAGTAAAGCAAATTCGACCTTCTCTAATAATAATCTAGGCTGGTCCCCAGGCGGCCCGCCTGGGGGAAGGTCGCCTGGGTACCCTCCCAGGTGGCCGGGGCTGGGCAGTGGCCGGGCAGAGTCCCGGGCACCCCCAGCGCATAATATTAAAGAAAATAAAAATTCAAAAAATTCAAAAAATTCAAAAAAATCTGGAAAAAAAGATATGTTGTATAAAATTGCAGTACAAACAACTTTTGGCTGAGGGTCCCCTCGAAATTCCTTACTAATTTTAAGATAAAAATAAATGAGGAGAAATGAGGTAAGATATACCCTTTTAAACCCCTCTAGTCACTGTTTAGAGTAACTTTATACCCCCCAAACACTCCTGGGTGACCCAACACCGACATGGAAGGTAAGGCCGGATTCTGATTGCTCAGGCTGAGTGCAGTCCTGGCCTGAAGTCAGTTTTTTTTTTTGGGAGATCCTTCCCTCTTTTTTGACCCGCCTGGTTTTGCCAGGCGATCCCCCCTGGCCTAGCTGGCCCGGGCATGCCTGGCCGGGCTAACGCCCAGCCTAAATAATAATATCTTTAAGGTTGAGGGAGCACAGTGAGGGTGCAAGAGTGACTGCCAAGTACAATATAAGAGATGTGAGGAAAAAGAACGAGAGAGAGAGAGAGAGAGAGAGAGAGAGAGAGAGAGAGAGAGAGAGAGAGAGAGAGAGAGAGAGAGAGAGAGAGAGAGAGAG